CCCTGGATGAGTGAGATTGTCTGTTTACCCCTCCTTTACCTGGAGATATATATACTTTGGTCAGATTTTTAGTAAAATGTTCTGTACTTCTATCTCGAAAAATTTAATGTACTTGTACTCCATGAAAATAAATTGTTTAATAAAATTAATACTATCTATCCTTGTTTTGCATCACCACACTAAGGAATTTTAGGGGAATAGTCCGGGGGGGGGGGGGGAGGGATTGTCCTGATACCCTTCTCACCTAATACCCCATTCACACTGGCAATTTTGACCATGGTTTAAGGTCTTATATGGGTTAACTTTCTAATATATGAATGGGCTAAATACCCTGACTGCAGTTCAAATAAACTCTGATTGATAGAAGGGTTAATCAGCTAAATCAGAATTACCTTTGAATTGCTGTCAAGGTTGGATGTTTACATTTGAAATGCATGTGCACAAGTGGGCAATTAACTTCGCAGGAAATTCTGTCAGTACTTATTATACTAATTCTATCATTCAGGCTTGTTTCATTGTATTCAATAATGAGCTACTGTAAAAGAGTATCTTGGCCCGAGGAGGCCGTCAAAGCCCTGCTCTCCATATGATCTAAGAGTGAAATACACACACACAAACACACACTCACACACACAAAAAGTGTTCAGTTCCTAATGACAACAAGAGTGCACATGCTTAACAGGAATAATTATTGGTGAATCGCTGTCACGTGAGTGCAAAGGAACTAGGTCAAATTTTAGAGGGTAGGGAATACCCCCCCCCCCCTTAATCGTATATACGTATGTCCATTATATAAAGATGGTAATGCACTAACTGTATTGTATCGTCATTAGTATATCATATTGTACAAGGTCATGACAATCTATGTACCAGTACAGAAATAAATTGAATTGAAAAAATTGAAATTAATCACCGCCTAGAATTAAAACAGCAATAACGAAGATATATTCAGGTCAATCACCAAGAATTCCTGAATCACAGACTACAATTTATCGTAGTTAAGAGATAAGATAAGATAACTATTTAACAGAAAAGGGGTAACCTACTGTATAAATACAAGGATTGTTTATCAGTTTGTGGGTTTTTGTCCCTTTTTGTTATATAATAGTGATGCCAAACAGTGTATTAGGTGAACTGCAAGCTGTTGATTATGATCATATTTTATATATTGAATTTTTATGTAGATCTACATATAAAATAAATAATTTCATCTCATAGCATTATAATAATAAATATAGTCTGTATATCACTTGAAGCAAATTTTAGCCCCTGAAATGACTTACATGTAGGCTCTCGTTTAACTTACTTATTAAACGTTAATATGACAGTTTAACCTACCAGGCACGATAAGTAATAAGGCTCATACAGTAACATGCCGGCTCACCGCCACACGTACCGGACCACTCGTAACTACTCGGATGTCTCCGCAATCGACAATAGTATGGTGCTTGCGGAATGAGCCGGACAGAAATAAAAGGAAATGAGTCATCAGGGTGGTGGCTCGCCCTATCGACAAATGTAAACATTTTTAAACGCAGTACACTTCGGCTGTACTTGTTCGGTATAGCAGGTAAATGTGTTGCGATTTCTTAATTACAAATCGAGTGTGCTGGTAGATCCTGGTAGGTTGTACAGGTAAAAGTTGGTTGTACTCAATGTGAAATGATAATCTTCCCCAGAAACCTCGTAGATATCGCATACCGCATATATCGAATACGGCCTACCTATAACTTCTCTGGATCATTCTAGATCGGGTTACTACACGTAGGCTATGATTAATTGTTTGTTTGATATTGTTTTGTTAATTTGTTTACAGTGAATTGTGAAGGACATTTTTTAGGCTTGAGGTACTGCGTCTTTGGTTTTAATTTTGACCACATGTTCAGTGGCGGATTTAGAGGGGGGGTCAGGGGTCCTGACCCCCCCTTCGGTTTCTGAAATATGGGCTATATCACACCAATATTCCCTTCTTGAAATAAGAATTTTGACTAGTTCTATCATAGTTCTAAACCGTACCAAATGGCACCATTCGCCTTCTAAAAGACGCGGACCCCCCCTCCCTTTTTCAAGTAATCTTGGATCTGCCCCTGCATGTTACTACACGCTAATTAGAACTGTCCGGTAAATCTGTTAAATCCCAGCAGGAAAACGCCTCTGTTCCATTTTTATATTTAGATTGCCACGGGAAACATTTTGATTCGTCTAATTATATAACGACCACGAACATCCCCAAGCGTCCGTACATTTCATTTTCCAAAATGCGTACAACAGGACAGCTATTGAAGTGGTAGCTAGGCCTTTCTACCGGCGTAATTTCCATCTACTAGTATAAATTTACGTATAATATTCTCCCTTACCATTCAATATAATCCCTTATCAACTTTAAGGGGCTTTTTTTGACAGGCCCTATATATATATATATATATATATATATATATAGACCTTAGCTGTTTACGAACACAAGTAGGCCCTACTGTCTGTACATTTGCATTACTGTAGTAGGATCTACCTTTGATCAAGGAGTTACACCAGAAACTCCTTAATTGCTTTGATATAATTTGAACTTACTAAGTTATGTCGAACTTGCGTCCTTGATCAGTCGAAATTCCCCTCCTGTTGGTGTGTGCAGATCCTTGTATAAAGTTGAACCCTCTTGTGTAGAAGAGACTTCCGTACCCTTCTTAAACCTTATATAGGCCTACTAGATATTCAAGACTCAGGAAAATCCCCTAGTTCTATTAATAGCTAATGCGCAGTATGTGCAAGCACAAGGAGTGTCGTAGATCTATGTGAAGTTTCATCATATGTAATCACCGTGTTGGTCGTGATATAAATTTTAATTAAAATTAGTCTGAAAACTCGCATCTATTCAGATAAACTATAATTGGCATAAAGCACCCGAGCTCTTGGCTTGTGTGTCTTCCTCTGGGACAATGAAAAAAGAATTAGGCCCTAATATAGTAGACGTGACGTAAATCTACATGTAGGCCTTGACTTGAAAGGTGCGCCAGGTCAAATATGCGTGCTAAGAAATTGCGTAACAATGGAAGAGCCGATCGATATTAGTTAAGAAAACCTTTGTCTCTATTGAGAATGTATTTTAGTGTTTAAATTTTTATTGACTGTTTCGTCTGTTCACTCTGACATGACGTACTTGGTCACAACTACATGTACCTGTTCAGGTGAAGGTGAACAGGTAATTAACTCAGTCTGTAATATCTTCACAACTGACTTTATTACTGAACCATGTGCTTCTGTCTTACATGCTCACTAGAGGGCGCACGTCATGACAAGCCCAAACTAATATACTACATTCCTTCCCCCTTTGTAAGTGACACTTTTATAGATTCCCAAATGAACTGATATGTTAAACACTAAAAATAGAACACCGTTAAGAAATTCCACAACACCAGTAGTAAAATAACTGAAAAGAAAAAATGAACATAAACAGTTATAAACAAGTCTTTTAGGTCATGCAACAGTCTTCTTTTTTAAGACAGTGTAATTAATAGTCACAGTGTGTTTTGAGTTCTTTGCTGCTTTGAATATTTACACATCAACAATAACTTTTGGTTTTCTATTTCTCACTGGGTACCTGCTTTCAAAATTGCTAATTTTTACAGATTCGTCACCTGTAGTGACTTGGGTTTTCCCAGGAGATGCTGAAATTTCCACATTAATATTTTCCTCTACATTTATGTCACCAGTGTCAGTGACCTGACTGGTAGGCACTGGTGTGTCTGACACATGTCTGGTTGTCATACCAAAATTCTCATTAATTACAGGCATCTCCACCATTGGAGATGAAAATACCTTTGAAAAACAATACTGGTCAAATGCAGGTATTATTTGGTCAACATGCACATGCTTTAGTCCTTTCTCAGTTTGTACTAAGTATCTCCTTGGGCCCAAAACTTTAATCACCGATCCAGTCAACCATTTATCCAACTTGCTGCCCGTCATGTCCCTGACACGTACACGGTCGTGACACTGAAAACAACGTTCTGGTGCTTTATCATGATGTCGTTTCTGTTGCATTTGTTTCTCCTCTACAACATCAGCCAAATTGGGTTTAAGTAGGCTGAAACGTGTGCGAATCTGTCGCTTAAGAAAAAGTTCTGCAGGAGTTTTTCCTGTGGTAGTGTGAGGAGTGGATCTATAACGCATCAAAAAATTTGCTAATCTACGCTTTAATGACATATTTTTGTACTTCACATCATGCAAGTGTTTTTCCAATGCTCGTTTCACATTTTTCACTGAATTTTCCGCAGCCCCATTCGACTGGGGGTGGTAAGGTGGAACCAAGGTTTGTTTGATGCCATTTGTTTTCAGAAACTCCCGGAATTTATCTGAACTGAACTGAGGTCCATTATCAGATACAACTTCCTCAGGTAGTCCATATGATGCAATCAGTATTCTAAGTTCATCGATGGTGTGTTCGGCATCTGTATTAGACATTGGTATCACCTCGAGCCACTTGGAATGTGCATCATGCACTAAAAGGAATGTTTTCCCTTCCTTAAAAAAGAAATCCAAATGAATACGGCTCCATGGCCTAACTGGCCACTTCCAAGGGTATAATGGTGACGCTGGTGGCATGTTGCGCACAGACTGACATGCGCTGCATTCTCTCACCTTACATTCAATATCACTGTTTAAATTTGGCCACCAAACATAACTCCTTGCTATTGCTTTCATAGCGCACACTCCAGGGTGCTCCCAGTGCAAATCCTCTAGCAGTGTTTGACGGTAGATCTCTGGTATCACAACACGGTTTCCCCACAAGATACACCCTTGCTCTGCTGAAAGCTCATGTCTCCTGACATGATATGGTTTGAGTATCTCTGAATCTAGATACTCTGGCCAACCACTCATCGTATAATCCATGACTTTGCTTAATACAGAATCTTTCCGAGTGGCCTCAGCTATGTCACTAGCAGTAAGTGGTAGCTCTGTAGCTACTTCACATACATATATTGTGCAATCACTGCCAATTGATGACACCTCATGTGGTAAACGCGACAAACAATCTGCATTGCTGTGTAGTTCTGACTTGCGATACTGGATGTCATAGTCATATGCTGACAGAATAATAGCCCACCGTTGCATTCTTGCTGCTGCGAGTGTAGGCACTCCTGTCTTTGGGCCCAGTATGGTAAGGAGTGGTTTGTGATCAGTCACTAGAGTCCATTTTCTTCCATACAGATACTGATGAAATTTTGTAACACCGAATATTATGCTTAGTGCTTCCTTTTCAATCTGAGCATAGTT